CCCCAAAACCCCAAAACCCCAAAACCCCAAAACCCCAAAACCCCTTGGAGATAAAATAATATTGAAAATGAGGAAGACATCCGTCAGCAGGAAGTCATCGGTCAGGTCCACCTACCTTGGAGTAAGCCTGCTCAGTTAATGCCTAAATCTAGAACACGATTAATAAAGCATCGAAGACCAGTAGGGACCGTGCCCGGCACAAGTACGAGACTCATGAAAGATATATAATAGAGCAGGAGCCTGACTGGGCAGAGACCCTTACTTGTGGGGTTTATTCTAAAGAGAATAGGTATAAGGTATGGCGAATGGGGTGAAAGGGAACTTAGTTTGGGATATTTGGTTGTGGATTTTGGGGTTTTAAGGGAAATTTTGGAATTTCGGTGGTGGCAAAATGTGTCTTGGATAAACTCTAGAGTTGGGATTTAGGTGGTTTTGGCATTTTTTAAGGGAATTTGAGGCATGATAAGGGGTAGATAGTTGATTTTTGACAGTTAAAATAAAGAATAAGTTCCATTTTGAGCAGAGTTGTGGTGATACAAGTTCTACCATTTTATCTAAAATTCTAGATTATTATCCATGAAGTGGTAAAGCAACAGAAAGTACTAATGGGTGTTTATGAGAAGAGCACCAGATGCTCAAGAATGTGTTGCTGAATTCCGAGATGGAGGCCCTATAATGGAGCGATTTTTACAGAAGATGCTGAACCAGAGCTCATGTATAGCTACGAGAAGTCATTTGGAATCCCATTTCTAGGATGCTGCAGGCCTGAAATCAGAGTTTACGATCATGATGAGACTTATCTTGGCATGGTTAAGAATAAATTTCACTGTTTTAAGATGATCATGGAGATTCTTGACCCGAATGGTAACCCCCTCTACCAGATTAGTGGCTCAAAGTGTTCACCTGGGTTCTGATGCGAGTCATTGTGATCTACATGCTCGCCTGTTAGTTATGACATAAAAGATCTTAGGAAGGACGGGATTGTTCTTTCCAAGATCGTTAAGCATTCAACTGGTTGTGGAATGGAATGCACCTCAAATGCAGGTAAGTATATGCCTCATAGAGGTTTAGATCGCTACTATCTCGATTTCAGCTCAGTAATGACTTATGAAGAAAGAGTGTGATTGACCATTGCTGTTCACGAGATTGACATGCTGTGGTTTGAAAAGAAGATACCATTTTTCTGCTAAGGAAATTTATGGTGAGATTCAATGTGTATTTGAGAACCTGGGGTTTTGGGGTTTTGGGGTTTTGGGGTTTTGGGG